TCTTAGATGTAGATCTCAAGAATGGAAGTAGACAATGATACGGTCATTGTTGACGGGGATGATGGAGAGGAGGTTCACAACGCGAAGGACTTGTTATTACTTGAGCAACACCATTCAGGCAGTGTCGCTAGTGATGAGACTTTGAGAGACGATCATAATTACGTCGACAATAGCGATGATGAGATTTTTGGCCCACCTATCGATGATCTTGATGATTATTTCTAGTACATGTAAGATCTGTAGTACCTATGGCAATTTTATACATGTATGATACATTTACTTATTTTGCATCTCTTTTATACATGTATGATACATTTATTTATTTTGCATCTCTTTTATACATGTATGATACATTTACTTATTTTGCATCTCTTTTATACATGTATGATACATTTACTTTTGTATATGTGTACTGATAGTTTATTCCTTTTGTTGCAGGTGATTGATGGTGGGCGGTGGAATCAGGAAGATTAGGTCGGTTATGACCTTACTTTGGGCTGGTGGCGAGGGGTCCGGCTGGTGGTGGAGGAGGGGTGTGCAGACTAAGGGTGGAGGTGTGCCTGGGGAGGAGGAGGAGGACGGCGATGAGGCGTGCCAGGAGGTGGAGCCAGGTGGGGAGGTAGAGCCCAGGTGTAGGAGGAGCCTGAGGTGGAGGAGGAGGACGGCGGCACGAGGCGTCGAGAGCGACACCTCCTCCACAGGACGATGACGACGAGTTCGTAGCGGCCATGGAGGAGGATGAAGAGGAGGAGGAGACCAGGAGGAGATAGCGGAGGCGGTGGAGGAGGCACGGAGGAGGATGAGGCCGAGCGGGGTGAAGGCGAGGAGGATGCCGACTTGCCGGCAGAGGAAAATGGGGTGCCTACGGTTTGGGCTGCGAGGGTCGTCGCGCCTCCCGCAGACTACCATCAGAGAGGCGACCGGTGATTCGACCCTCGGAACTAAGTAAGTAATTTTGCATGTTAACACTACTTCACAGGTTTTAAGTTATAATGAAACTAATATTCAATCTCAATAACTTTGTGCGAGGATTGGGAAATGGTGATCCTGTGGAGTCACTCTCGCCGAGTAAACGGGATCCTGGGTCTTCATGCAGGCAAACTACCGGGATGGTGAGGATCGATGGTGTTGTGCAGCCCGCCATGAAGTGGTCCCAGCACGCGCGCCAATGATCGATCGATCGAGTGGCGGGTGTTATAACAAACAAGGCCGACCGGGTGATGAAAGAGGCGTGGAGTGCGTGTTCATCGCACTATGCTAATAATAACATCACATTAATTGTATATTCTTGATTGTATTTGCTTGTAGGATTACTACACCTTGGCGGAGGGAGTACGTAGGGAGGACGCGGATGACGTGGTGAACAGAGTCTGTGTTCACCGAGTGCAGGACCTCTTCTACGAGACAAAGCTCCTGTGCAGAAGAATTTACCATGCCCGCAGAGGACACAGAGTCACCAGAGCGCAGGCAGTGCACCTGCCCCTGACTAAGGAGCAATACTTGACGGTAAACATGAGATTACATCGTCTGCGAATAATTGCACTGAAATTGATTTATGATTTGTCATGTGCTCGTGTACGTGTAGGTGCCTCCTGCTTGGTGTGCGGGGATGGTCAACTGCTGGGAGGCCATTGTGGACAAGTGGTTGAGTGAGGAGTACGAGCAATATCATGCCGTACGCTCATGTTGCCGTGCGATGATGCAGGGTTCCTCGCACAAACAAGGCCCCACTACCCTCAAGGAATATGCAGCCAGATATGTACGCGGATTTCATTTCGTTGTTGCTATGCTAACTTCTGAATGCATAATATCTTATTGTTGTGCTTCTTCCTGCAGACGTGATTCCACCCCGGCCAGGAGTGTGCCTCGTTCAAGGCATATGCCTTGGCACACAAGGGCAAGGCAAAGGACCCCGACCTCGTCTATAACCCGGAGGACCCGCCCGAGGCATACAACAACCCGAGCGTGCACAGGCGCCTCAGCGAGTACACGGCGATGGCGAGAGAGATCCATGGGTCAGAATTTGATCCGAGCATCGCTGACCTCGAGGGTGACATCGTCATGAGGTTGGGACCAGGTAAGCCACACGGGCGGTACTATATGGGCAACAGCACCATAGACACGGCCAACACTCAGACACTCGCCCAGATTAGAGCCCGGAGCACGAGTTCGAGTCCGGCCATACGCCCATGCTCACAGCCCCAGGTGGTAGCACTCCAGGTTAGTTCTGTTGCATTTGTTGTCCATTTATTTTCTACTCGTTCTTTATTTGCATTCTAACTATATGATAAATAATTGTAGGCCCAGATTGAAGCCCTATAGGAGTCACAGCAGGCCTCACAGAGCCAGCTTCAGGCCCTCGAGCTGTCGCACCAGGCCGAGTTGGCACAGGAGAGGGCGCGAGTGCAGGCCCAGCTTGAGGCCTTCCAGCAGGCGCACAAGGACTGGTACGAGTACATGGCCCGTTTTTCTCAGAGCATGGGCCAGCCTCCACCGCCTCCGCCGCCGCCGATGATACCGTTGGTGCCTCCACCTCCGCGCGACGGCACTCCTGTGAGTCACTTAGATGCACTCTTCACTTTCGTGTCATATAGAGCTACCTTCGACTTATACCTTAGTTTGACCTACCATAGCTTAGGCCTTAGAATTTGCTTTGATCCAGATAACTCACATGTGCAATCTCATTCTAGGGACCTTCTACAGCTGGATCGAACAACGATATGCAGGGTGATCAAGACCTGGACTTGACTCTGTTTCTCCGCATGCCTCCGACCATGTGACAGGCCATCCGACCTTGTTTGATAGGTTTTATGTTGAATTGTGGACTTGGTTGAACTTTGTGGACTTTGGACATATGTTGATGGTGTTTGTGAACTTTGCATGGTGCTTGTCGACATATGTTGGTTATTGTGAGTGGATGTGACATTTGTGGACATATATGTGATATATATTGCCTATCTGTCATGTTATTATAATTTTCTGTGATTTTGTTGCTTATTGTGACTGGATATGCACTGAAACAAACAAACAAAAATTATGTGGACATATTTTACCGAGTGTAGCACTCGGTAAAACAGAGATTCTGTCAGTTTTACCGAGTGTAGCACTCGGTAAAACAGCGAACAGAACCAAACTGGTTCTGATTCTGTGAATTTTGCCGAGTGTGCAATTTTTTACCGAGTGTCGTGTCCCCACTCGGTAAACATTATTCCTGAAGTTTATTTGCGGAATTGTTTTAATCACGAAAATGGTTATTATTTTACCGAATGTTAGGAGTTACACTCGGTAAAAATTATTCAAAAAATTTATTTGATGAATTGTTTTAATCACGAAATGTTAATTTATTTACCGAGTGGTGCTAGTGACACTCGGTAAACGTCGCCGTTAACGGTCAGTTTGGAGGCTGACGACCGTCAAGTCATAATTGTTTACCGAGTGTCGTTATAGCACTCGGTAACGCTCTGCTCCGAGTGCGCTGATATTAGACACTCGGTAAAATAAGCTCACCGAGTTGTTGTTTGCCGAGTCCACTTTACCGAGTGTGGCACTCGGTAAATAGTTTGCCGAGTGTGTAGCACTATTTGCCGAGTGTTACTCACACTCGGTAAATACACAGTATCCCGTAGTGAAGGTGATACTTAATAGGCTAGCTCTTGATATCTTGTTGGTGTCAGAGACTATCTCGACAATGCAAGATCATACGACACATCAGAGCTACTGGCCTGTTCGCTGGTTGGTGCTGGTGCTGGTTTGGACTGGCTGGTGCTGGTTTTTTGTGAGAGGAAAACACTGTTGGTTGGCTGGTTTGGGCTGGCTGAAACCAACAAGCGAACAGGCTGATGCCATGTCATCTATGTTTGGAAGCGATTCAAGTACATTTCCTTAAATGCAAATGCTTAATTCCACGCGCATGTATTATTCGGCATGCACAATCAAAACGACAAAAACATATTTCCTTTCAATGGTAAAGGAGACTGCTGATGTTAGGATTTCAAGTCTTTAGGTCCACGATTGCCAACCTTAGGCGGGGCGAGGGGGGGTTGGACTTCTAGTGGTGTCGGTCAAGAACAATAGTAGGATGGGGTGATGAGACGACGTCTGCGGGGGCCGTGGGAGAGGCCAGTTGGACGGTCCAAGTGCCACAGTGCTGACTGCGAGGGAGACGACCGCACGGATTAGTGTTCGCGGGGCATCGCTAGAGCCGTCGGGAGGTGCTCGAGCCGAAGACGGGGAAGATGCTGGGTTGGCGATGACGATGAAGTTGGAAGACGGCATCAGTTCGGTGGTAGGGGAGTGTGTTAGAGGAAAGAGGATATAAAGCAAAGAGAAAGATAAGGTGGGGGTGAGGAGGCATAAGCGAACGAGAAAAAATGGAGGTGAGCGGGTGTTAACTTTTCCCCACGTGAACGCTGAGGTGCTAGCATAGTTCTTTTGAAAAGACATTTCTACGTAACTATATATTTATATTTATTATACCCTATACATATATATATATTTGTTATATTAAAAATATAGAAGCTAAAGTTCGGAGTAATTGATTACAGGTAAAAAGATATTTGAGTATGATAAGCACATTTTTACAATATTGTTTGTCAGTCATGTTTTATCTAGAAGGCAGTAATAAATGGTTACCAAAAACTGGCTACGTGAAAACAAGATAGAATATAATCAATAATTTTGATGTAATTTACCATGGAAGGTAAAACTCGTGATGAGTAAATAAAATATAAAAAGTATAATAAATAAAAACGTTACATAGGAGTGTTCCAAATCTACAATGGCACGGCCTCACGTTAACTCCGCCAGCCTCTCCGCAAACTGCAAATGGCCAAATCACCAACTCCGCCCCGATCTATTCCGTCGCCCCCCAAAAACACGAGAGCGCAGGAAGAGAGAGAAACAAAAAATAATAATAAGGAAAGAAAATAATAAGAAAAATTCTCCCGTGCTCTTCGACCGGCGGTGGTGGTGCGAACGCGAGGCGACCAAGCGGAGACGAGATGAGGGGGCCGAAGCGGCCGCTCGGCGTGGTGACGTCGTGGGTGCGGCGGCAGCCGCCCAAGGTGAAGGCCTTCCTGGCCGTCGTCACCGGCATGGCCGCGCTCGTCTTCATCCGCTTCATCGTCCACGACCACGACAACCTCTTCGTCGCCGCCGAGGCTGCGCACGCGCTCGGCATAGGCGTCCTCATCTACAAGCTCACCAAGGAGAAGACCTGCGCCGGTTCGTTTCCGTCCGCTTCCTTGACACCCGTTCCCGATCTGTCGAGATCGCCCGTGCCGGCGCCGATAGGGTCTAGGATTTTTATAGGATTTGGCCCGCCAATTCAGCGTTTCAGAAGGCGATTTTTCCGGCATGGTTTGCAATTTTTATTTTGCGAAGAATTGGCGGTTTACTGCTATGTATATATCTATCTAGGAGGCGGAAGGTTAGAGAATTATTCGATCTATTTTGTATCTATAAATACCCCTTATGTTTTTTGTCCATTTTTTAGATAATGTTTGTTGTGAGGCTAGACAGATGTGTACCACTGTTATTGTTTGGGGTTCTTATACGGGATTAAGTGCTAAAGTACTCATCTGGTATATTTTGGAGCTGCAAGACGTGCTTGATTACATTATCCTTTGATTTGACTGGGGGGAGTTTGTATAGGCTTATTAGACTCGTCTTTTAGAATGGTGTAGCGTGTTGCGGGCTGTTTTGAAAAATCTGGAGAAACGAAATCTTGAATAAGAATCGTGTGGTTTCCAGTTTTTTTTGTTCTCTTTAGCTCTTTCAACATCTATTTGTTTATTAGAATTCCTTCTATTGAAGTATGCATTCTTGTATCATTTCTCCCAGTTAGCAGATCCCTTATTCCAATTACATAGATTTTGTTTTGTATATCGCAGATGTTTCCAATTTTATAGATTTTATATGAATCAGTTGTGTACCTACTTGGCATGGTTTAGATTTGGATTACCATATCAGAGATCTAGAGATTATTCCTATGTGCAATATAAACTTATTGAGGGTTTACCTTGTGATTTCTTTCACTTGGTGGATCTAGTCATATATTAATCATTTGGTTTGATATTTTTTTTTTAAAAAAAATCCCACCTCAAGCTGCGAAAATTACCCTAAATTTCACCGTTCTATGTATATGATTTCTTCAGAATGTCTGTTGTATGTGAGAAGATGGCCTAACAATACTAGCCTGTCAGAATATCTTTTTTGCCATTCCATTTCTTTTATTTAGGTGTTAATGCTCTACTTTATGTAGAGTCTAAGATTCTCAAGGCCTTCGCTTTTCATGTTGCAGGACTATCCCTCAAGTCTCAGGATTTAACTGCGTTATTTCTAGCTGTTAGACTGTACTGCAGCTTTGTCATGGAGTATGACATCCATACGATTCTGGACACTGCTACACTTGTAGCCACACTGTTTGTTATTTATATGATAAGGTTCAAACTGAGGTCAACTTATATGGTGGACAAGGATAACTTTGCATTGTACTATGTGGTAAGAAATAAACTTATGTCTTGATATTTTTATAAATTTAGATCAGTTACTGTTCTTAGCTAAGAATTTAGTTTCTCATATCCATGTCAATGATATTGAGTTGGAGCTGTCCAGTTTGTGCAAAATAGAGCCACATTATCATCTCAATGTATTTGCTTTGTACTGAACTTGGTTAGGTTAAGACCAAGGCTGTGTGAGCTTTATGGTTAGAATGCACATCACCTTTTAGATCATTTATTATTGAAACATTTTGAAATTCATGTCTCTCTCTGTACTTCTGGGATTGGAGGTAGTGCTTCTCTGATGCTTGTGCTAACAGAAGGCATTGGACTTATGCTAGCTAATTTTACTTCTTCTGCCACAACGTTGCACATCTTAGTTGTATATTGCCATCTTATTGTGCTTGGGACTTTGTTATTACCTTTCAAGGTGCTACCGTGTGCTGGACTGGCACTACTTATTCATCCTTCAACATCTCATAACATTGTGAACCGGATCTCCTGGGCGTTCTGTGTTTATTTGGAAGCTGTTTCAGTGCTGCCACAGTTACGCTTGATGCAAAATAATAAGGTAACATCACCATCTTGTCATTTGGTTCCATTGATTGCAGGATAATAAGTTTGACTTAGTTTTACCATCTTTTGCAGATTGTTGAGCCGTTTACAGCTCACTATGTATTTGCATTGGGGGTTGCAAGGTTTCTTAGCTGCGCCCACTGGGTTCTACAGGTCTGTCTTTTTGGATATACTCTTGAGCTAATACATACACAGCTGTATTATATTGTAGCAGTCTTCGTTTTTGTTCTTATTGTTTTTTGCACCTAACAGAATGCTGGGCAATATAGACTGTCATCGTAGATGTGAGAACTTTTTTACGTTTACCTAAATCATTTTTATTGAACAGACAGATTTCTTGTTTTGGGGTGGTGGGGAGTGTCTTATGACCATTGTTGATTTGTAGTCACTCATGGCCATGAAAAAGCGCTTCCAATTCTCTAGTCTAGTGTTTTCACATCACTAAAATGCACTTAGGCAAATGGTATTCAAACCTTGATCATCAGAAGCAACAAATTCTTTAATGTAGGTTTTGGACACGCGTGGCCGTCTGTTGACAGCTCTCGGCTATGGTTTGTGGCCGTCTATGGTGCTTTTATCAGAAATCGTGCAGACATTCATCCTTGCAGATTTCTGCTACTACTATGTGAAGAGGTAAATTCAGTATCGCTGTGAAGTTTAGTTGGCTGTTCCTTTGGGCATCGTCTAACAAGTGATTGTCGTTTTACAGTCTGGTTGGTGGGCAACTGGTGCTACGGCTTCCCTCAGGGGTGGTGTAACAAGTGCAGCAGGATACAAAGCTTAGTAGCGCTTCACCGATTCATATGTACTCTGAATAACAGTTATGCACTAGTGCTGCCTTTTTTAGTTGATGATGTTACGAGTTATGACTATGTATGACAAAATTGCTGCAAGGGTCTTCTTAAAAAGATAGGTTGTCACTGAGACTGTTTATAGCTGCGCGTTTCTTGATACCCAATCTCTGAGTACTTCGCGTCTGTTGTATGACTGTCGTGGTCTTAGAATCAGGTGGTTAATGGTCTCTTTGGATTAGATAATTCTAGAATGCTTTCATATGTTTTTGCCGCAAACAAATTGATCTTGATCTATGCAGAACTAGCCACGTGAAAATCGTGGGAGCAAGGCCATCAGGTCGTGTTCACGTGACATTGGGACTATCAGTAGGGGTTCCTTTCTGGTCCATTACTAATCTTTAGTACTAGTCTTCCTTGAATTGTCAATTCAGAATGGTCTAGTTGGATTGAGGGTGGATCGCGGTTGCCTCATGCGTTCTTCCTGGCAGCTCACACCAGTTCCGCCTGCAATTCTTCGGTTTGTTGACCAGACACAGAAATGGTGTGCAGGAGTACTAGGACTGTAGGAGCCGTGCCTGCACCCATGGGGGCGGGGCTGTTGGCCGTCATGTCCGAAAAGTGAAAAGGCTTTAAAACTCCTGTGTGTGGTATGGATCGCTCCTCGGACCCTTTTCTCTTTGCCACTTGAAGGTTGAATCCGAATACTGTCGTCGTAAAATCTTTGCCAATTGCCTCTTCTGGCGCTGGCTGGAACCTGCTGGCTGCTGAGGCTGCAGCGCAACGCCGGATGCGGCGTCCAGAACTGACGTCGTGGAATGCTTCAGCGTCTCCAGCAAAAGACAACGCGGCAACGCAAGAGAGTCGACGAGCAAGCCAAGTCGGTCGAACCCTACCGCTCTGCTGCCCCGTCTCACGTGTATAGACGACTAGACGTGGCCGGATGGACGGCTCGATCCATTCCAGAAGGCCAAAATCACAAGCACCGCACACGCCCGTACGCCACGGCATCGCGGTCGCGGCAGGCCAGCAGCAGCAGCCCCCGACCCCCAGACCCAACCCAAGCGCCGAACAGAAACCGCAGCAGACCAAACACGAAACTCTCGCCGAACTGATAAAAGGCCCAACCCATCCTCCCGTCTCCCGGTCTGCCCCGTCCGCCTCTCCCTCCCTCTCTCTCTCTCCCCCACTCGCCCTTCCTCCCCCTCCTCTCCTGTGGGCGCTCGCTCTCCCCCGCCCCCAAATCGCCGCGCCGCGCCCCGCCTCGTCTCACAGCACCGGTTGCGTGGGAGGAGGGAGAAAGGAGAAGGAAGGAAGGAAGGAGGGGAGGCGGCCGTCGGGCGAGATGAGCGACTCCTTCTGCCCCGACTGCAAGAAGCAGACGGAGGTGGCGTTCGACCACTCGGCGGGGGACACGGTGTGCACCGAGTGCGGCCTCGTCCTCGAGGCGCACTCCGTAGACGAGACCTCCGAGTGGCGTACCTTCGCCAACGAGTCCAACGACAACGACCCCGTCCGTGTCGGCGGCCCCAGCAACCCGCTCCTCACCGATGGCGGCCTCTCCACCGTCATCGCCAAGCCCAACGGCGCGCAGGGCGACTTCCTCTCCTCCTCCCTCGGCAGGTGGCAGAACCGCGGCTCCAACCCTGACCGATCCCTCATCCTCGCCTTCCGCACCATCGCCAACATGGCTGACAGGTCCGCCTCTCCGCTCCTCCCTTTCTTACGCTACAGGTTCGATCCGATTCGATCAAAATATGTGGCAGTGCTAGTAGTTTGCGCTGATTTCGAGGATATATATGCCGTGTGCTTGCTCGTTTGTACGTGTGTCGCACTGCCTGATTTTAGGTCTGGGGCGATGGATTTAGATATTTAGATGGGGAATGTGATGTGGGGTTTCAGGGTTGGTTATGACTGCGGGGGTCTAGATTTGGAACGTCTGATTGATATACTTGCGTCTATGGCTTTTGTATATTCTTGTTGGGTTTGGTGCTGGATGATTGTCCCTTGGATCTACTGAAATTCTGCTGTTTCATAAGATGGGAATCCATCTAATTATCATTAATTTCATCAGGAACTGTCGAAGGTTCGGTTTTTATTTGGGCACACAATAGGTTTGGCTAGAGTAGGTGTGCTGCTTGCACCTATGCATCATTATGTCAAAATCAAGCATTGATAACAAGTTGATCGTGATGGCATGTAGTACCTATACCTTAGGCATGTAAGTTAGCGAAGGTGATTCTAGATTGCGGCATTTTTTATACATACAGTAAAAAGATATCAGCCACATATTTCTAATTTGGGCGAATAGATGCACAATACTCAATGCTATGTTGATAGCTAATTTGATTTTAGCTGTGTCAACCTTAATTTTGTAACATCTGTCAACAATGTGCTGACACGAACTATGTCTTCTGCAGGCTAGGTCTTGTGGCTACTATTAAGGTAAGGAATCTGATGGCTTACTGTCCATTATATTAAGCTGGCTGCCAACATTTTTTTTATATAGCTACATGGCTATACTTGCTTGTTAGTGCTAGCTGTGAGCCTGTGATCTACCATTTTTAGGTGCTGGTAGAGTGTGTCCTAATAATTGGCCTATTTTGTACTGAAACCTACTATGATATCTTTTTTGTATGCTCCCTTAATAGGAATATTTGTAGTTCATCAGATTACATGTTGATATTTTACAAAATTTGGGTGTATATGCTAAGGCTCCGTTTGGAGTGGAGGAATTCCAAAGGGAACTTGTATGAATCACAAAATGGAGGAAATGAAATCAGGGTGTGTGTTTGGAATACTGGAAGAGCCAATTACTTTCCTTTGGAATACTGTAGGTAGATGCTCATTTCAGAGCACTGTTTGCCTAAACGGCAGTTAGCCCGTTTACACCGTTTAAACGCTATACAGTGGTTTGCTATTTCTGTTTAATCGATTGTTTATCCCGTTTAGGTGTCCGTTTAGCCCAAATAATGGTTAAATGGCAAGTGACTGTTTATCGTTTAGGATAACACTACTTCAAAGGAAACCAAACATCCACTCCGATCTCTGGTTTTCTTTTCCTTTGCGGATGTCCAAGACAGTGCATACGAAGAAGAGAGGAGAGAACGAGGAAGCGCACCACAAGAAGCTGTCTGTCCCATCTTGATCTTGTCTCTTCCACTGCTGCCTCTGTTCTAGGAACCACCGGAAGTAGGTAAAATGGGGAGTCAAAACGGAGAGCCGAAAGACGGGGCCGAGATTAGATTGGGGAAAGTGCATATTATGACTTTTTACTGTGTAGTGATAGATAAGGACCATTGAAAGAAAATATTTAATGAAGTGGGTGGTTTCCCATGTTATTTAGACTGATTTAATAATATATATTTACAACTTCCTTTAAACAATAAGTCAATAGTACTCCACTTCTTGTATTCTGATTCCTGCGTCCCAAACACCTGCTTCTTGAAACTTTCCTATCTTTTTCCATTCCTCTATTTTGCACCCTCATTCCTTTCCTATTCATACATTTTCTATGCATTCCTCATTCCTACGTTCCAAACACACCTTAAGAGTAGGGATCTATGTTCTGTATGGTAGCTTTTCTTCTCTTTTTGAAGATAGATTACATGTTTAACACTTTCCTGAATACCCATTGTGTGATTGAACATATTTCTGCTTCCTGTGCTCGATAGAACAATACCTTATAACTTAATAATTCAGGTAAATTACTGCTATGTAGTAATTATTTGTTTTGGTCTTTACTCTTCAAGGACCGAGCAAATGAAATCTACAAGAAAGTTGAAGATCTCAAGTCTATCAGGGGAAGAAATCAAGATGCCATACTAGCTGCATGTCTATATATTGCTTGTAGACAAGAAGATCGGCCTAGAACTGTGAAAGGTACATATTGTTCTTAGAAATTCTCGACTTCCTAGACACTAGAATTCATAGCCATGCAGCACTCAGTTCGTCTATTTTCTTGTTTTGTATTGGATTGTTGCAGAAATTTGTTCAGTTGCTAATGGGGCTACAAAGAAAGAAATTGGCAGAGCAAAAGAATTTATAGTGAAACAACTGGAAGTTGAGATGGGGCAATCTATGGAGATGGGAACCATTCATGCTGGAGATTTTCTGGTATGATTGTCCAAATTTATAGCTTCAATTTGTTGTCGGAGTTGGTAATTTTCCTTAATTCTTAAGTTGGTAGCTTATAAACTGATAAAAATTGCAGAGGCGTTTCTGCTCAACTCTTGGGATGAACAATCAAGCTGTTAAGGCAGCCCAGGAGGCAGTTCAGCGCTCAGAGGAGCTTGATATAAGGTTTGGAATTTCAAACTCTGTACATGCTAGCAATTGCCCATTTCCATTTGATTGCAGTTAGGACCTGCTGTGGCATGAAAGTTTCAAACTCTTGGGATGAACAATCAATCTGTAGTTCACATTTCTGACAGAAAAAATATATGTTGACACTTCCTTTCATCCTTCTGTGCAGGAGGAGCCCAATTTCAATTGCAGCCGCCGTCATTTATATGATAACCCAACTCTCAGAGGACAAGAAACCACTTAAAGGTTTGGAATGCTGCCCCCATTGTGTTTTTCCCTGTGACTGATATACAGGTAATAATACTGGAGAATCTGTTGCAGATATATCCTTGGCTACTGGTGTGGCAGAAGGCACCATCAGAAATTCGTACAAGGATCTGTATCCCTATGCCTCAAGGCTCATCCCGAATACCTACGCCAAGGAAGAAGACCTGAAGAATCTCTGCACACCTTAGGAAGCTTACTTTTTTTTCCCCTTTTGTTACATAAATCGGAATTAGATTTGTCAAAGGAGTGAGTGACCCTGGTTGTGACTGTACCGGGCAATGTGTCGTCGCCGCCGTGCTTAACTTTATGTGGATGGACCAATGAGAACAGAAGTTGTCCTCATCAGATCGATTTCTTTTCAGAGCACCTACCACCTGAAGATTTGTGGGATAGCCAAGGTGTCGTTTTCGTATACTCCCTT